GGACATAGATCTATTTTTCATGATTCTCTAGTAACAGGGAGCATCAAACAAAAACATCTGCAGTAGCCCCAGGTTTGGCTCCAAAGGGCAGAATCCATGACACAGTTATGGTTGACAGGATCCTCTTACAGAAATGAACCAAATAGGATGTGGCTGATGCACATTATTTGATTTCCATTTTATGACCTAACCAACATAATGATAATGTCTAGTGGGCAGCATGAAAAAGGGTTACAAATATAGGAGAAGAGAAAAATTGCACAAGGAAGCTGAACCAAGAACTTTCTTCATTTAATTTTAGCTCAAGCAAAATAGTTACTTAAATGTGCCAATTAAGCGTTAGTTCCAAATCAAGCAAAAAAATAACAAATAAACTGATTTTTATTTGGTCCTGATCCCTTAATTGTCAGTGAAATATTCTTTCATACAGAAGAATGAGTTTCAAACAGACTCATTTCAATTAATATTTTCTCCCTCTCTGAACATTGTACTACAAAAATAAAATCTTAAAAAGATAGTCATGTCCAAAGACTGTTTTAAAAAAAGAAAAAAAAGTTGATTCCAAAAACTGGTTAGATTCCCATATTTCTTATTAAATATTTCTAGTATTCACAAATAAAAATTCCTGCAGTATTATTTTCCCAAAATTTAATTCTTATTTTATGGAAGGCTTTAAATAAATTAATTTAAAATTACTTTGTGACTAATTTTTGGGGGAGGGCAGTTAAAAAAGAAAGAACATAAGTGGTCTAAATTACATTTTCGAAGAAAAGGTCAGCTCATGCCTAAATTTACAAAAGAGTTCAATTTCAACATGTAAAAGGAAAAATTATCAGATGTTGTCACAAGCATCATATGGAAGTAGGTTGAATCTTAGCTCTTTTGAAAATGTGGCTCCATCTGTGGATACTAGAATTCTACTCTGAGGATTTTACAGGTTAATGTCCATTTAACACTAAAGAATTTCACAATCTTTCCCTTGATAACAATATTCAAGGTGTGAAGGTCCTGAACCCCACACCAAAGTAACTTTTGGTTTCCTTATATTTAGTTCCTTTCTTTTAAAATCCAGGACAGGCTACTTATTCTTTAACTCTTAACCCATTTTTCTATTGCATTGTTTGTACTGCAGGTCATCTCTTTAACTACTCACAGAGATTTCAGCTAACCCATTCTATTTGATCCTGGCATCCCGAGCAGATTTATAATGCAAATTGTGTCTCAGAAAGTATACAGATGTACAGAACGTTTTGTCAGCAGTTTCTTGTAAAATTGATAAGACTGTATAATTTTGCCTATTGATGTAAAGCTTAGTTTGAGAGATTAAAGAGCACTTCCAGATGTTTAGTAAATCAGGATGTCCTATAAACATTTTTGTTTATCTGAGACACATTTTCAAAGTCACATGGGGGAAGTAAGGAATCCAGCTCCCACTGAAAATCAAATATCACCCCCTTTATTATGAAAGCCGACATATTTCCTTTACAAATGATAACGTTCTTCTGTGGAGGGAGGGATTATTGAAAAAAAATGCATGGAAAAGCATTTAATAACACAGTTACAATTTTGATGTCTTAAAGATATAAAGTATAACAAGAGAAGTTTTTAGGAGGAGGTAGTATTTTCCACTAGCTCATCTGATACACCGGGAGGAAAAAAATTAACAAGCTTTCAGGCACACAAGAGTTTCTTCTGATTTTAAACAGAAGAGGTAAAACAAATTTGGAAGTGTAAACCACCTGTGACAACTTTCTGTCTTAAATCTATGTGTGTGCAAGCACATTGTGCCCTTGTGACAGCACTATTAAGATCAAATATTCTTATACAACCTAAGAGAAGACTATAGGTTTGGGTCTTAGCAAGAATCTTTCCACCAACTGTGGTGCCTGGGTTGATGTCACCTTGGTCCCTGTGTTTGGACTTGAGTTCTTAAGGCCACCACTGGCCAGTTCTTAAGTCTCCCAGTGACAGATTTAGGATTTTCCAAGACTTAAACTCAGAGATGGGTCTCCTCTGCCAATGAGCTCTGGTAGCTCAAACTGAACTAAGGGTCAGTCCAACTTGAGAATCCAAGTAAAAGTCAATAAGAATTAGAGACAACAAGCAATAAAAAATAGTTCTGCTCCTGTGGGATCTTCTGAGCCTGCTGTGATAGGAGGTTTGCAGTTGGATGATGGATGAGGGAACCAGAGCAGCAGTGACAGCATACAGGTGGATGGGTATAGCACAATATCTACTGGATTACTTCAGGAAGACTGGGCTTGGATCAGTTTAAGTCAAGCCTAGTTTGTTGCCTAGAAGTGCCTCATCCAGCATCTAAACTGCATATTCTTTTCATGACAGCCTGTTAGCACCTACCAAGCATAAGCTCAAATGAAGGCCAAAGCTGACAACTATAGGGAGGCCAGATTTGAGAATGAACGTAACATAAATGCAGGGGTTTGGAAGGGAAAAAAAATCAGTTAGGTGCCTACATAACTTGCCAAGTTTCTATAAAGAAGATCCCAACTTTATTTCAAAAGTACAACTACATCTCATTTATCCGCTGTTGCTCTCCTTGCTCCTACCTTTGTCTCTCAGTAGACTGAGCAGATATTCACGAGGCTGGATCTCTTGTATCTATGCCCGTGTTTCATTCACCTCTATACACATGAGCCAGGGTGACATATGGCTCTTTAGGCAAACTGGATATCAGTTACACACACAAAACCCAAATGTTATTTCCCTGGCTTCAGTGGAGTTACACACCAAATTATTTCAGCATCACAGTACAGCTTTAGTGCTAAAGAAGTCACATCAATGTAGGCATACTTTGCTCCCAAGTTATTTTTTTTCTATATCTAGTTGGCATTTTCTCATTAGAAATGCCAATCAATTGCTCATACATTTACTTGCATTATTTCTTTTGTTATGAAACTTCTGTATTGACTTATTCTGAGCAAAGATAAGTCTTGAAAAACTTCAACTCTTCTTATTTGAAGCCCCAAATCACAAGCTGAAAGTTTATTTAGAGTTCCAGTTCATACAACTTCAAGACATACATGGTTATGACTTTGTAATTCCATTACCCTAGTAATGGCACTGAATATCGTGAGGCTTTATATACCTCTTTTTTGACAGTTAGTTCCTGAATCCTAAATGTTCATGTAATTTTGTAGTTTGTATTTACTAAATTTTAAAGCCAGATAGGACCTGTTAGATCATACATTCTACCTTTCTGCCTAATGCCAGTCACATCAAAGTGTAGAGTTCAAATTCCTGTGCCTTGCCCTCTCAGATCCTAGATATCATCTTGAAACTTCCAAATCTGAAGAACTCACCACAAATATTAGGAAGCTGCTTCAGTGGTTATTCAGGTTTCATGTTAAAAACATGCCACTTACTTCCAGTTTGAACTTTAAAAACCTCAGCCTCCGTTCATTTAATCTTCCTAGAGCTTTACAAGCTTTTTTAAGAGCCCTTTTTATTAGGTTGCTTGCCTATTTCGGAGGACTTGAGGGGGCATTTGATTTCTATTTTGTTTTGTTCTATATGTTACATTTTGTTTAGGTGGATAACTGTTTCTGCATTTCAGTCTTTAATAAGAGTTTGTTACCTGACAGAGTCTAGTTTCAGCACTATGTCCTTTCTCCTTTAGATGCAGTGACAACACTTGTCAATTAGTTTTCAAAACAAAACAACAAAACAACAACAACAAAAAAGCCTTCAGAGTAAATTGGTTACAAAATAGATTAATAGGATCATAATCTCCAGAGGAATTTTCCTTCCTATCAGAGCTAAGCATATTCACTTCCAATACTTCATAATCCAGCCCACGAAGCTACACAGAGAACAGAGAAGCCAGTGCTGGTTGCACCAGAGAGGTAACTAGAACCAGAGTATGCTTTATCACTCCCCAAAGACCCAGGTTATTCTGCTCCAACTTGCGGATCATTACAAATATTTTATTAATTATTTATTTAATTATTGAAAAGTTTTTCCAGTGAAAGAGACGTTCTCTTGGGTGTATGCGCCTTCACCGCTCACAGGTTTGCACTACAAGGAATATGACCCTGGCAGTGGTAAGCAGAACATGTGTACCAGAGTGCAACTCTCAGGACCTCGGGACACTGGTTTTGGATCCAGGTGGGGCACAGGAGGGAGGCTCAGGCAGGGAATGCCCACAGAGAAAACATCAGGTAGAAGTACGCATCTAAAGACCGTTAGCAGTCAGCAGGATGAGGATGACGGGGTTCAGGCAGCTCCAAAAGCAGGTGCACCGGACCCGTCCCCACACACCTCCGAGGGATCCCAAACCAGCCGCGGCTCCTCCGCGCCACCTCAGGCGGTGACGGGGCGGCCAAGGGCGCCCCCCAGCGCGCGTGGCCGGCGCCGCAGGCGGTGACCACCCCGCCGGGGCGGTCCGGGGCGAACCCGCCGCTCACGGCACCGGCACCGGCACCTCGCACCGCCGGGGCGGCCGCCGCGCCCCCGCCGAGCCGCGCCGGGCAGAAACACCTGTCCGGCTGCCGGGCGGCCACCGCTCCTCCCGGCGGCCGCCGCGGGGAGCAGAGCGCAGCCCGCCCGCGGGGGCTCGGCGCTCCGGGCGCGGTTCCCTT